GATTATTATCGATCGACCAATTGAAAGGAAAATAATCCTGATATGAAAAATTCTCCTAATTATCTCTTCTCAAACCCTATGCTCTCGTATATATAATAAGACTGGTATATATAATAAGATGATCTTTTAAGGATCTAATCATCAAATAACAACAAAAATCTGATATCTCATTTCTTGATAAGTCAACGCACGCAGTTAATTGAACCTATGAAAAGTAGAAAGAAAGGAAAAAAATCCAACTTCTTTTCTTCAGATGATGGTACAATAATTCGTACCATCCGAAGCAGATTATCGGAGATACCCCATTTGATCATGACATCTAAAGGTAGTTAAGATCTATCCTTAATCTATGATACTTTTAATTTCAATCCTATCATTATGATTTCCACATTATAGTTTTATTCTTACATCTACCACATACAGTGCACATCGAGGAAACTCGATTTCTTAGAGGAGAGAGTAATTAGCACCGCCTAAAAATGAAAACTAAATACTCCAAAACAGCATTGGCTCAATGGTACACCAATTATTTAAATTATGTATCAAAGTTAAGACTTAAGTAACATTGAAGATTTTAGACATCACAGTAGCAGGAACTTCTCCCAAGGATATTGCCGTAGTCATTTGATCCTGCCAAAATCTTGAAGGATTGTTGGGGGACTTTAAAGATCAGGCATGCCTATTCCACTTTTAGCATCATATGTTTTGTCTAGTACAAGGTCAATTGGTGTATCCTTGGGGCCAACTGCAAAACGAGAAGCCAAATAAGTTAACGCTCTCTGGTGTGCAATAGCAGCAGCAGCAGCACAACTAACAAAAAAAAACGAAATAGAAGCAAACTGCAGATAGAGGTTGAACCATGACAACAGTTATAAAATTAACTAAAAAAATATAGATATTAAATTCAAGAGAAGATAGAACACATCAAGAGGCAATCTCAATTCGGGAGCATCAGAATATAATATAAAATTGGAATATCTTATGGCTTTGAAACCCTGAATATTGTAAAAACAGATAACTTCAACTAATTAAAAATAACTAGCCCTTCAAAAAAAGATAACCAAGCAGATCAGTGACTAGCATGCAAAAAGTGTGTTCAATTTTCTGGACAAATACACTGGCAAGAAACAACTTTAATATATGTGTTCAATTTTCTTTCCCTTTACGAGTTCCGTTTTGAAAATTTCTGGACAGATTATGACCTAGTGATTAATACCATTCATGATTGTTTGTCATCCTGGCCTTTCCCCTCAGTCCCCTCTCTTCATTGTGTATCATCTAGTCTTGCCCTCTTGTGTAGCAAACTCCCTTGTGCTTGAATTCTGCTGATTTATCATCTACTTTAAAATATGTGTTCAACTAAAAATGAGCACGTTTAGGAAATATATCAATAAAAATGAGATCAGTAAGATCTTCATGCTAGAGTCCTTGGAGTCTCAAACAACCTTTGTTTCAACAAATTCTAGAGTTAGTCAAACCTTGCAGCATGACAACCGTGAAAATTTAGTTTAACTTCGCAGCATAACAGATTTAGAAAATATGCAATTCAGTTACCAGAGCAGAAGCAACATATTGGAAATAAGCTCTGTATTCATGGAATACTGCAGGAAACAAAGAATCTTACAATGCTCATAAAAATCTTCATCTCCCAAAATCATCATCTTGTGATGTGTACCACCCATCACGACAAGTGTCACCAATTTCAGTAAAGATTACAGATCATTTTTTTCACATTAAGTCTTATTAAATATGATACTCCAATAAGGATATACTAGAATTTGAGGATAAGAATTGACCTCACAACGCTTTTTGCAGTCAATAGATCTCTTGCAGTCAAGGATAAGAATTGACTTCACACTTATTGTTCTAACCAAAACTTATTTCTAGCTAAATCTCTTGGTATCTATCATATGATCATGATAATATTATGTGCCTCATATGTTGATTTCATCAGTGTACAAGTCATATGTGTAATATATATTCATAGCTCCATGGATATCACCTTTAGTTTATGTTAATTCTCTCTGATATCTCTCATCTGAACTCTGTATAACTCAATAACTCATATATACTATGTTGCTACTATTGTAACGATGATGTAATTATACACAATATGAACAAGCTTAGCATTACTTCCATGATGCACATTTCTGTTTGTATTGAAGGAAAGTCATTGAGACATACTATTCATCAAGGTGATATGGCAAGGTGAGGACCATCATGGATGACGCAAGTGTGGTAGAACACCTTTAGTGTCCGACATAGTCGTATTTCTATCTGTTGTTGATGAGCCATGTTCGGTTATATCGTGCACCCTGACATGTTTTATAGCTCAGCAGATGAACAACAAATCATGGACAACAACAGCAGTATACAGGCGGCAGCCTCCAAAATTTGCATTGAGATTAGTTTTCTTCAACTCAAACACACAAGGCAACAATAGTAACAGTGAGGACTGCAGATATAAATTGTTGAATCCTGGATATTTATAAAAAAATCAATTTGAATTTTAGGAACTAATGCATTGTTGAGATACTTGATAGAAATATTTCGACTATGGATCCGGACTGACAAAAGATCAAACATTGAGCCAAAAGATTGGTCAATGGGTCGAAAATCGAATATTGTACTGGAGGATAGTCAATGTGCCAAAAATTAGATATTATACCGGAGGATTGGTTGACATGTCAAAAATTGGATATTACGCTCAAGAATAGGGCGATATATTGGAAGATCTGATGATGGGATAAAAGTTTGGATGATGTGCCAAAAGATTTGACAATGTATCGTAAGAGCAGCTGTTGTGTCAACATCTTGGTCGAAGTCATTTCGAGCCAAATTGGACTATTATTGGGCTAGAAAGAGCCTGCTTATTATGCTTATTGTGTCAACTTATGACAGCCATTCGGCTTTAAATTGGATCGAACTTGGGCCTTTACAAGACCAAACACATGCCAGGGGTGATGGTACAATCGACAAGCGTTGTCGGCACTTTGTCAACTTTTGGGGCAATGGTACCCCACCTATGGCAACATTAGTTGGTGGTAGTTCCACCAATATGCCGAAATCACAAAAATTTAACTATTTTAGCTCCACTTTTGAGGCTTTTGGGGCTATAAATAATTTATTTGAACTTGACTGGTGGTCCATCCTTGAGTTTGCAAAGTGTTGATCTCTCTCTTTGAACCTTGTTTAAGTCTCCTCTAATCACCTTGTTGAGTTAATTTATCATTCTAAATAGTAGAAATAGTAGGATGTGAGTTTTTTAAAAAAGGATTAAGTATAAAAGGGAATGTTGTAAAAGGGTTATTAGTTTTCACCTGTTGAAAAGAAATTTATTAGTGGAAGTTGGTTGAAGGTGTCAATTATGCCCACGGGTATGGATACCTACGAAGCCTCACCCCATTGGGGAAATAAACGAGGATTGGGGTATTTTCTATTATCAAAACAGATATGGGATGGGGACGGATAGAGCACTCCCCACCCCGTCAACATCTAAACCTAGATGTTGGGCCTAGACGCCTGGCCTACCTGATTCAAATCAGATTGGATTGAGCCTTGGTTGAGTTGATTATGAGTCAATTACAAGCTATTTGGATCAATTAAACCAAATGAAACAATATCAACATTCAGTAATAACACCTCCTCCCCGCGCCCTGCATGTTGGAGAAATGATCAATGCTCACTGCATTGACCTAATGATGAAAGATATTAGGGAGTTAGCATCAGCTAGAATGTGTTTGGCAAGGGCACAATCTGTAACAAAGGTTATCCACAACCATCATTGGGTGCACTCCTTAATACCAAAAGTATACAAATGGAGAGATACTTCGATTTGCAATAAACTTTATTGCCCTAAAGTCCATTCAGCAAAAGAAACACAATCTAAAGGTAATGGTCACATCACTGGAATGATCAGATTCTCACTATTTAAAATCATCTGGTAGAAAAAAAGGTAGAGAAGACATTTCTATCATCTAGATTTTGGGAGTCTGTAAATGAAATCATAACAGTAAAAACCACTATATGTTGCTTAAAACCATAAGGTCTATATAAAGAAGTGTCCACAGATGCTTAACCTTAGACATATTTTGCTTACAACCATGAGGTAAAGAAAGCATTGCATGATAAATTGAAAGTTAATTAGTATTTACAGATCATCGAACGTAAGGCCGAAGACTATGTGGACCAAGGCATTCATAATACAAGTATATTTAAATCCATAATCATTTATAATATGATTAATCAATCTTTGTAAGTTATAATATTGACGAAATCAATTTTCTTACAGCATGTTACCCAAATCCTGTTATTCAATATAGGCAATCTTAGGACCCGATCAAATATATTGCAAGCGCTAAGGAATGTTACAAACCCACCTGCCAAAAAGTACTGCTACAACCAAGGCTATCATGGAGGGCCAACTATTCAAAGATAATTTTGAGTCCTCCGATAATATAGTCATATTGTGTATGTATCATGGCAAGGGAAAGTTACAAACATGTCTTTGATTATAAATTGAAATTGGCGGTAATGATTTGTTATGTTAAAAAAGTGTTCTTTATATTTTTTTGTAGTCGAGTAGCGACTATAATTTGGAGCAGTGATTTAAAAAGCGCTAGGCGCCAAGGTCCAAAAATGCCCGAGGCGTTAGGCGCTCGCCTGAGGGAAGCGAGGCATTAAAATATAAAAATATATAATATAATTATATTTAAATAAAAAGATAATATTAAATTAAAAAAACTTACAATATCACAATATCACATTAACAAAAAATCTTAAAATTCAAAACAATAACAATAATTTCAAATAAATAAAAATTAAAATATTAAAATCAAAATAATATATTATTAATCTAATAAATAATAAAATATTGCTACTAGTATACAATTAACAGTATACTATTAATATACTGTTAACAGTTACTATCGAGTCGATGTGAGAAGAGGTAGCAGCGAGCAATGACAGTGAGAGCGAGAGCAGGAGAGGCGAGCGGCGACAGTGGTAGTGGTACTGGTAGTAGCAGCGGTAGCAACAAGAAGCGACAACGGGAGAGGCGAGCGGCGACAGCGGCAACGGTAGCAGCGGCAACAGGAGCGGGAGCGACGAGTAATGATAGTGGCAACAACAACGGTAGCAGTGAGCAGCGACAACGATAGCAGGAGCGACGATAGTGGTAGCGGTAGCAACGAGCAATGGCAGCGAGCAACAGCAATGATAGCAGCAAGCAGTGGGAGCAACGACAGCGGCAGCGACGAGCGTGACAGTGGCAGCGGTAGCAGGAGCGACAGCGACGAGTAGGGTTAGGGTTGGGAAGTCATGAGAGGAAGGCTGATATCGGTGCTTTAGTTGGTTCAATTGAACCAACTAAAGCATCGGAGACCGAACCAGACCTAAAACGCTGGTTGGTCGCCTGGTTTAACCAGGGCGCTCGCCCGAAGCCCCGACGCCTAGGCTCGAGCGAGCGCCCAGGCGACGCTTCTTTGAAGCGTGCCGCCTGGAAATGAAGCGAGGCGCTCGGGCCTCGCCTCGCCTCGCTTGAGCACCTAAGCGAGTGCCCAAGCACCTATTGAAATCACTGATTTGGAGAGTCTGAATTGTGGTCCAAGTGCTTTCACAAACAATGACATCAATTACCTATGAATGGAATTGGTCACAGTTTACCTTAATTCACACTAAGGTCCGTAACAGACGATCATATAAATGGCTGGAGAAGCTCGTATATGTTCATTACAACATGCGTCT